TGCATGTGTGTTGATGTGTGCATTTTAAATCCTTGGCTGTATACACACATATATTTGACACACACTCTCTTGAGAGCTCTCTCAATGAAGGATTTTAAAGCTGTCACCTTTTACACTCCACAGCATGGGAGAGACATCTAGCCATCATTCTGATTACCACCGAGCTAACACACACTCATAGACACAAGAGACAGCCGTCAACGCTCAAAGTCCCCTATCTCTCAGGGGGTAGGGCAGAATGTTTCCACTGGGAGAAGGGAGAGTTTTCATGAAGACATCTGTCTGGTGTTTCATTAGAGCTGACTTTCATGTCATGTGCATATTAAAGGCCTGTGATCTTGGCCAAGGTCCACCGGTTGTCCAGCACAGTGCTGCCATATAAAGGAGAGGAGACAGACATAAAACAAAACTGGTGATCAGAAGCTGTAGAACACACCCTCAAAACATGATTCAACTTTGTCTAATAAAGTGGGGGTGGAGAATGATATTGTATGCTATTTTTTAAACTCACTTCCCAATACACAAAGCCAAGCTGTTTTTTTTAACTGAGTTATGAAAAAGTTTACTCACAAAGATCACTAATTTAGATGCAACACGATCCTTCCCATATTTTTGCAAAACAACAGAATCTACAAGTCATAAGGTAAAGTTTCACGAGCAGAGCCTTATTGATCAAATTGTTATCAGGAACAAAGAGAGTGTTAGAGTGACATCAGACTGGCTCAGTATCACATCTCAGAGATGTCTTCATCTTTGTTGCTGTTTGTTTTTTAATGCACATCTTTTGCACATTATCTTGTACTTTTGTATGTCTGTTTTTTATCCTAATATTTTGTATTTTTGTATTATATATTTCAAATCTTGGTATACTTAGCTTGCACCGTGGTTCAGAATCTTTCTGTATATCCAGCACGTATGGAAAAAAATAATAATAAAGATGACTATCCTGTTTAAAGGCACACTTTAATATATACACCTCCTTTCCTCAGTGTTGCGGATGTATAGTAACAATTTGCCATTGTTTGTATAGTGAAACACTTTTACTGAACCAATTTACAACCTGAAAAACCTTGCCGTTCTTCGAATGTCCACTTGAGGCTGGCTGCAGAGGCACCTGAAGTCACATATACAGTGGCGGTTCTAGACCACTCTTACTGAGGGGGCCAAACTGGGGCCAGTTGTTTTGTCAGAGGAGAAAATTAAACCAAGGTGAAAAGTAGACAAAAATGATCACTTTAAAAAAAAGATATATATTATGCCAAATAATAGCGCACAACGTTAAATACCATGATTTATATTTGTTTCAGTAACAGTATTTAATACTAGATTGTGAGTCCGGTTGTTGAGTCAAATACTGTGTACTGTATGTGTTATTAGGGGGTTTCTTCTCTCTGGAGGGGTGGCCACAGGGGGGACCACAGCCTCCATACATGGGGCGCGCACACCAACCACTGCGCCACCAGCGCCCCCTAATTCTCACTTTTTTAAAGAAAATAAAGATTTAGAAGATGAGAATGTGTAAAGAGTGTCAAACAAAAAATAATCAATTCATACTGTGTTCTTCTTTGCTGCTGGGACTTAATTCATCATATCTGTGCACATGCTTATGAAATAGTATTGCCATACAGGAGATTGGAGCAACACATCCATAAAGTAGGATGTAGGATTCATTCTGTGGGGACCACAAATGTCAAAACAAACAAAATGTCAAAGTTATTGTGGTGTTTAAGTTTGAACAGAATGGGTGCACAGACTGTGTAACATTGGCCTATCAAGAGCTTCATGTCTAGCATGGCTTAAATATTTAAAACATATTTTTGTTCCCTTCAATGCAACTACTTTTAAATCGGTTAATATAATGGATCTTTACATTTAGTTTACTTCACACCACAGAAGATTAAAGAAGAAGATTAAAGATTACTTCTGTTTCTCTTTGTGTTTGCAGATAGCTTGTCGCCCCCCGTCAATGTGACCATCAAAGCAGTAAAAGCAAGCTCTGCTGTGGTGACATGGGACATCCCCGATGGAGACCCCGTCATTGGCTTTGCCATCACACAGCAGGTGAGCAGACATACCCTTGAGGATGTAATTGTACATAAACCAATTTGGTTGACACAGCAGACACAGACAATTGCAAAATTACAGCTTCAGTCAGAAATACACACATGCACATTCATTCATAGTGTGTAACATTTGTAGGTTGACTGAGTAGGAGCAAAATCATTGTTGATCACTTTCTGATAGTACTTTGTTTTTCATGCAGAGGGAGACAAAATGCTGTAGATGTAGTGCAAAAAACTGCAGTTGCTCGATTGTCCGCTTGAGGCTTGCTCCAAGAGACCCGGAAGTCACGTACAGACCCCATTAATGAAATGCACGTTTTTACTGCAGAAGTTAGCGTTTTTACATCATGGTGCATGAAATTATTTTGGTTTGATTAGTTATTGTCCTCTTGGGCATACGCTGTATAGGGGCTGATTTATCTTTATTTTTATAACTGATCCGTTATGATTTTATGAAGGATACATATTATACATAGTTAGGGGTGTATCTGACCTGATTGATGGGCAGGTGTGATGTAGCGGTTTGTCAAGGGGTTTAAAATCCGTCTCCGCTCCAGCTCTTAGCCTCACTTTAGGCTGACTGAAAGTTAGAGTGAGACAGCATTTCCAGCATGGCAACCACCATAGAGGGGCTTTCAAAGCCCCCTGCAGTAACAGATGGGTAACATCACTCACGTTTCATCCATTAATTTTGAGTCTATAGTTTTCCTTTTATGTGGACACATACTTAGCCCATAAAGCGGATTTTGATCCAGTATTTTTATTATGACAGACCACACAACAACTGTCCTCCTAATGTTTACAATGACCTTCCTCACCCGTGTCATTCTCCAACAGAAAAAAGATGTCCGCATGCTACGATTCATCCAGGAAGTCAACACTACCACACGTTCCTGTGCATTATGGGACTTGGAGGAGGAGACAGACTACATTGTGCATGTCCAATCCATCAGCATGTCTGGAACGAGTCCATTGAGCGAACCCCTGCGCTTCCGAACACCAAAGGAGGCAGAGACTCAGGCCTCGAAAAGTAAAGGTAGTATTTGAGTTTTACAAACACAAACACACAATATGAACATTTGCTCTGTCACTGAATATATCCAGCCGGGAAAAAACTGCACATTTCCTCAATACTTTTCTTTCCTTCCGAGACATAGAGAACAGAGAGGACTTTGCCTTCTGAAAATGTATTGAGTGATTTGGTCAAAGACCAATAAAAATCAAGTGACACACAAAGCGTGAAATGAAATTTTACAAAAGAGTACTCCTATAGCTTACACCTGCTGACCACAACTCAGGGAAAAAACGTCCAAAAGGCTCCATACTTCATTGTGTATTGATGTGCCTTGGCAGGCCTCTCTCTGTCTGCACCCAGCTGAACTGCAAGGTAAACCAAAATGAGAAAAGACATTAATCAGACGCACAGAGGAGGTAGTCAGAGCTGCGAGGTTTGGCAAATCAATATGCTTCTGGCTGAAGCTTGGCTCCATCTATTCTTCCTGAGTCTGAGATTCTGTTATTGTGGCAAATGAAAAGGCAAATGAAAAGGCATTAGAATATACTGCTGTGTGTGTGTGTGTGTGTGTGTGTGTGTGTGTGTGTGTGTGATGTTTGTTTGTGGGAGAAAGAATTTAAAGAAATCAATGAATATACCTTATTGTCTTTAAGCTAAATATATAGCTGACATCAAACAACTTCCTTCCTTACAGTAGGACAATGGACACAGAAAGGGCAACAGCTAGTATTGTACTGTCTGTAGTTCACAAAATCAAGCAATGGCTACCTTTTAAGCTGACTTACTCACTTGACTTATTGTAGGCAGATTTTATCCATCATCTTTTTTTAAATGTTGATTGTTGTACAGTATCCTCGTGTGTCCAGAAAGGCGCTTATAAATAACATTTATTATTATTATTATTATTATTATTGACAAGTTATGTCTTGTTTGTTTAATCATAACAAAAAGTTAAGGGTAAGAACTACTGCTTTCAGGAGAGAATCTGCCTCAGATTCCAGAAAGAAGGTCATAGAAAATAAACTAAATAGTCTGGTATCTAAAACAAAAAAATAAGCATTTTAAACTTGTGTATGCAAGTGCCAACATTCTTATTGTCTCACTCTCTGCAAGAAAGTGTAAGTGTATTTCCCAAAATTAGGAATTATTCTTTGAACATTCCTTGTGTCGACATACGGGATAACATTCCAGCATTTTGAGTGAGGTCAAGTTAAGCGTAGATAAAGTTTGACTGAAAGATAGGTCATAATGATTTTTTTACCATTTTAAAACTGAAGATCAACTTGATGATAAACATTTGACCAGACATAAAACAAAGCAAAAAAAATGAATGCAGCAAATACATTTATCAGTGTTTTCTTTGATTTCAGGGCTATTCGAGGACATAGCACCCTCAGTAATTGTAAGTGCTGCAAAGCATTAATAAAAAAAAAATATCAACAAAGCAATTTTGTGATATCTCATCGTTCCCTTATACTCAGCAAATGTGGTTAACTACACAACAAAACACATCCCTTTTCTGTCTCATTTACCCCGATTGTTCAAATATCTCTTTCAAAGAACTCTCAGTAACAGGACAAGAATGTTTTTTTTTGTAATTTTCATGTTCAAGTACTTGCATTCAGTCATTAAAGAGTCATTTGGTACTCCAAAAAGTAGAACCTGGTTTTCAAAGTCATTTCACTTGTATTGGCATGGACACAAGCAGAGACATGCTCTAGCACTTCCCCCTCCTGCAGTGCTGCTTGTTGTGGCGAGAGGGGGGTAGTGCCAGTCATCAGAACTTAGTGTCTGTAGGACACGATTCTTTAACTCTCTGAATGACTGAATGAAATGGCATATGATGGTCTAAAAACTGCTGCATTTTCACTAGTCAGATAGACTCACTCCAGTCATGTAGTATTTGGAGAAATGGAAGCTTGTGGAATACTGTGGCTCAAAAGCGCAATATGCTCAATATCACATCCCCCTTCCACTTGTTTAACTGAAGCATATATCTCAAGTTACCATTGGATTTACCCTTGTAGCAACACATCTGATCACACTTACACGCTAGCAAAAACTGGCAGTTTTTTATTGATGATTCATAAATTGTAAATCAATAGAAAAAAGTGTTTTAAATATGAAAAGGTAAATGTATTTGTATTATTTATGTATTTGTTAAAAAGTACAGCCCATTCATTTGATGAACTTTGTCAAAATTGAGTGATGAATGAGTTATGATTGACCAAAAACAATCAACGATATCTAGTGTTGTTAAAGGCAAGATATTGTTATTTATTGGAAAATCACTTATGACTTAGGGTGCTCCACAAAGTCAAAATGATTGTCTGTTTATTTTCCAATTAAGAGCTAGACAGGGATTTGGAAAATGATCTGGGATGTTCAGCCTAGTTTTGCATTATGTGCATATTTTTCCTCAAAAATAATGTACATTGCACAGATGATCACTAATCAATTTCACACTTCTTACGAGGTTAATTTATCATGTCTGTATAAATCAGGGTAAACTGACAAGATCAAAAAATATTTTTATAAAAACAATCAATCCTCTCTTACTTTTAGACTCAAACTGTAGGAATGGGCTGTGTGGTTATTGCGGTTGGTTTCTTCTGTGTGAGTTTCTTCATCTCCAAGGAAGCCAAAACAATAAAAAAAACACAACTAGTGCACACAAAAAGGCAAAAGAGACAATAAATCAGAGAGAGTGAGAAAAGGGAGGGACTAGCTGAGGAGAAAAAAGGCAGTACATGAGGATGCAGTAAATAATAAATCCTCTCAGTGACCAATAGAAACTTAAATCCTTCTGCTCCAACAAAGCAAACAAACTAGATGTTTTCACACAGATACACAGGTACACTCTGCGGTCCTATAAGGAGAACCAATCATACAATCACTGAAAATGAACAGTACAGAAAGCAAAGCTGAGGAAACCATGTTGAGCTCCTTTAAAGTGCAAACAATGTTGATACATGCTTCCTGAACGAATCCTTTAAAGATGCATAAACTTTCTTACTCTTACTCTTGTAAATATTTCTTGTACCTGTTATTGATATATTACTTACATTCCTATTCTGTTTGATTAATATTTTTATTATTATATTTCTACTGCTACATTGTATGTTTTGGAGCAACTGTAACAATCAAATTTCCCTCTGATGTTAATAAAGTATTTCTGATTCTGATTCTGAAAAAAGTCACAGCTTAAGGACATTCTTCTGTATAAATGATGTGAATGGGAAAGCCACATTGCTTGATCAAATAACTTGATAACAACAGATTTTCCAGCAGTAATGCAAGTACATCTCGAATAGCTTCAAGTTAGTACCTTAATTACAATAATCCATATCTAATATAACAAATTAAAATAAAAGAATAGGCTCTGTTGGCCTCATACTTCACTGTAGTTTCTTATTTGTCTGAATTCAGGATAACACACTGGAATTATTCAAGCTTCCTCTTTGTTTGCTGTTTCTTTATAAACCCCAGAGCTGCTGAATGGTGACAATGGTGAACTTGCATCAGAGGTGTTAAAGCTGACCAGTTTGCTCCTGTGAGGTTACCTGGCAACAGTGGGCAACACCTTGGGCTTTGTGCTTTAATGAGCTAATACTGGGTTAAATGGATCAGCAGAACTGCTTGTTGCTAATGGCAATGGGGTATAGGTTTCCTGCCACAATGGACCCACCAAATGTGACCCATTACATCAAATAAATGATAGGATTGCTCATTACACTTTAATTAACTTTAAATCAAACAACTGACCTCTGAGAACTGAGTAAAAGTAAAAGTTATTTTGTGTTGTCCCTTCATTTGAAAGAAACCAACAAGCATCTGCCAACATCATTATTTGATACTTCTCCAGATGGTCATACAACTTTTGAAGATGATGAATGAGTTTTATTGAGGCTGGTGTGCCTTGATCCTGACTGCTGTGATTAATCATTGTGTTATCTCTCCGTCATGTTTCAGTACAATGGACGCCCAGTGGCCAGATAAAGCCTAAACTATTCTCTTTATGATCTTGCTGTGTTCTGTTGACTCTAGCAGGTGTTCACAGAATCAGGCCTACTAGTCATCACACAAGACAAACTTAGTCGATTAATCAATCATTCACAGCTGTCCACTGGGACTGGGACATCTTTGAAAGTGGGATAGAGGGAGATAAAGATAGCTGGATAAAGACAAACAGAACAACAACAACAACTAACATTGATAATATAGGGGGAGGACTGATGATATTCTAAAGCTGCATCTAGCAGCTATAACACCTATAGCTGCTCATGAAGTGTTCCTATGTGAAATACAATGAATACTTTTATTCTCCTCTCATTAAAGACATGGATGCAACAGAAGGATGGGAAACGTATAGATTTAGTTTTGAATGGGTTAAAGCACTTGTTCAGTAAGACACTAAACCTTAAACAATTTGTAAGAAGGTTTAGGATTTCAAGGGCAAGATTAATTGAAATGGACTGTGAGTGTCTGAAATAAAGGATCATGTCAAAGAAAGTCAAAATAGACCTGAAAAAAGAATATGCAGAATAGTACAATCTAGTCAGCTGGTGCCCAGCAACACATTGACAGAGTGAAAAATCATATCCTCTCAACAGCAGAAAACCGGGTTAATTGTAGAATGATGACTTGGAATTTCTTGTGGCATGAACCCTGCCCTAGTAAAGCCCTGAAACCCAATAAAGCTTGACTCTGTCTGCTTAATACCATCTCTTTATCACTCTGTCCACTAAAACAGTGAAAAGAAAAACAGCAAACCTCGTCCTTTTTCTGATCCTCCTCTTTTCAAAACAGACCACAAAGGGCGAGACAGATATCATAATATGTAAGAGTCCAATGTTTGATGTGTAAAAACGATCTATTCTTTGAATTGTTTTACCTTAAAGGAGATAAAACATGTGATTTCATACACATGATTTTGTGTGCCTATTCAAGTAAACAGCAACCTGGCAATTAAAAAAACAAAACAGAACTGAGTAGTCATGCTGCTGACAGTCAGTCAGAGGATACTATTTCAAATTATGATGTAATAATCCAGAATAGGAAATACTCTCATGTATTTGAAACATAATTGGAAAAGGTAAATATTGGCTGTGTTGAAAAACCAGAAGCCTGTTGGCCTGGTTTTGTTTTTGTTAGTTTTTTATTTTTTAAAGGGTTTATTAATATTAATACATTTTTATTATTTTTAACTTTTTATTCAAGTGCAGTATGTGAAACTTTTGGATAAAACACTGATTAAACATTATGTTTCCATGACTCCTTCAGACGAAGTGATGATGGAGGAAGTGGGCCAGTCCACTCAGCTGAGGGCAGGGGAGCTCATCATCATTGTGGTGGTACTTATTATGTGGGCAGGTGAGAACCAAACATTTTTTTGAGTCAGGATAACAAAACTATACACACATTGTTTCTCTCGTTATCTCATGTAAAACAAGTTAGTCCACAAAAGTAATTTCATGTATTTGTGTTTTTTGGATATCCAGTGTTGGCTGACATGAATCCAATACATCTTTCCTCCTAGGTGTGATTGCTCTCTTCTGTCGCCAGTATGACATTATCAAAGACAACGAGCCCAACAACAACAAGGACAAAGCCAAAAACTCCTCTGAGTGCAGCACTCCTGAACATCCAACAGGAGGGCTGTTGCGCAGTAAGGTATAACCCACCCCCCTCCATTCCCCGGGTGCTTCCCCCTCAGCGGCGCCAAGCAGGTGAATGGTGCCTGCCATTTCTAGACTTTTTTCCACTGACACTACAAAATCATGCCAAAATCATGCCAAAATCATGCCAAAATCGTGCCTAAAATTAAGCTTTAGTCTACATCTCAACTTAGCTTCAATGTGCATATATCCAATGGCAAAACAGTCATGCCTTCAAAATTGTTTTTATCAAGAACAGAGCCCCATACCATAACCATTTTCTGTGTTCAAACCAGTGCAGAAAACAAACATCAAAAGCAATCTTTTTCTCTTGCTTTAAAAAAAAAATCCATATACAGAGGCATCCTCATGCTCATAGAAGAGGCCATTCCAATGATTCATTTGGGTTCATCAGCCTCCTAATAGCTATAATTTTCCTCTCTTCTTCCACAGATCCCCAAGAACAACAACAACAATAGGATGCCATCTGTGAACATCATTGAGGTGTAACTAAAGGACATCTTCTCTTTATCCAAAAGACTTTGTGTTCTCAAAAACAAGTTGGCCACTATATAGACCATCTGCTTGACAGATGGGGCTGGGACTCCACAGCAGAGCTTGTTTTCCTTTGGTCTGGTGCGGAGGTGAAGCTGCAGAACTCGGGGTGTTCTAACAAAGCCTGGCCGGTGCTGGTCTGAGAGCAAAGTTATCAGTGGATGGTTTGTGACTGCAAAATGCTTTATAACTATTGTAGCATGGGGCAGCAAATGTTAGGCCCAAATGGCTTTTGTGGTGGAGGAATAATAAGAAATGATAAACCAATCCAAAGGACCGTAATTGAACTGGAGTCCTTGTCATTCTCGCTCTCTTGTCTTTCAGTGGGTGTTCAACAACCACAAACTGGACATTTCACAGTGATTCTTTGTAATTAATTTTCACCCTTGCACTGTATTTCCATCACCACATTCAATTTTCTCTACATTCTGAAATGGAGATAAACACTGTAGATGATTCATGTGCATCACTGCAGTTTTACTTAAATCTAACTTTTAACAATATGCATCCATACAGTTTTCTTGTCCTGGTATCCATTTTTAAACTATTTTGATGTTTTGGAGACAGACTCTTTGAAGTCCTGTGGGATTTTTCTTTCTTTTTTTTTGTGGTGAGCCAGTTTTCTGCCTCAGGGTGTCCAGACTCCACCTGGCTAATTAAGGAGCAAATCCTCAGAGGTGCTGCAATGATGCAAGAGCAGCTTTAGAGGCATCACTCAGCTCTGAATCACCTAATCTTGTCAGCAAAAGTGAAGCTAATTCACTCATTTGAGAGGCATCTCTGTATTAAAAACTTCAATACAGTTTAGTCCTTAGCAAGCCAGCTTTGGTATTATCTTACTCACGTTTGCTTTTCTCTTCTCACTTCTTTCATACTTTTATTATAGATTTAAAAAAATGTAACATTCCACATTCAGGATGAGACCTTTAGTATTTTCTTGTGTCTTTCTCTCTAAAGGCCGAGGGAGGGTACTCTGGAGGGTAAAAGAAGTGCCATAAAGGAGTGCATTCATCTATTAAATGAACTTTTAAGGGGCAGGACTACCTATGGAAAATCACTGAAGAGACAATGATTATATCAGCAATAACAGCCCTGGAGAAGCACAGAAGAAGGACCCAAACTCTGTGTAGCCACTTTGTCAAAATCTTCCACCTCCTAGCATGCAGGGACAGATGACCAAACTGCATATCAACAATGATTGAATTCTGAGATTCATTTGCAGGAAAGGTGTTCAGCAATGTTGTGAAAATGTATGTTTCTCATAGAGAGCATTGTGAAGAGAAAAAGTTGTGCCAAACCTTCAACCCTGACACACCTTGACGGCATCCTGAATTGAAGGGCTTCTATCAAGACTTGTATAGACTAACAATCAAAGTAAACATGTGCTTTGAAAGTCCATGTTGAAGAGGTTAAAAACAAAGATAAAGTGTTAGCTGTCCCATAAAGTATTGTTCACTGCATATTGTAAAGGAACTTGCTTTATAAAAGCAGATGGTGTATTAGAGGGCTCATTCATACTCAGAAATGCTGCCTTAAAAATAATTTTAATAATTTAATGGATAAGATGACGAGCCCAATATCTCAAATTTATGTCACATTTATTAGCTTCTATAAATGCAAAGTTAAAGCACATTTTAAAGATTGACACCATGTAAAACCAAGATAAAGTGAATCTGAAAACAAGGAGGTATGGTAGCTGATGTGTAAATACATTCAATATTTCATTCTTGGTGGATGGTGTCAGTTTGGTAACTTTCGTGACCTCAGACAAGACTAATTTGGAAAATGTTTGAACTCCATATGTAAAAGGTCCACTGCTACTGGAAAATGTTGTTGTTTTTTGTGTGTTAATACACTAGTCCTGTTATTAATGAGCTTGTTCATAGCACTCCTTACTGGTATGTATTTCTATTGAATAATGTCATTGTACTTTTTGTGCTGAAGGAAAGGACTCTCTTGATGAGGACACTGATGAATAGTGCGGGATATTTAAAAGGTTGATCAAGCGTGACAATTTTAAGGCCATTTTGCTCCTCAATACCTGTACTGACAGAATAATAAGCTCATCCCTATTCTTGTTCTAAAAGCAATCTCAGTGTGGGAATGGTCTGGCAAGTCATTTAGTGGTCTCAGAAAAAATCATGTGTGGTGGCAAAGAGAGGCAGCAAAGGGGGTTATGAGACAAATTAGGCCTATAGTTGAGAGAGGTGAATAGAAAGACGACTTTGCAATGGCAGGCCACCCCCCTACCTCATTTGCAAATTTCTTTACAGCCACTCTTAATAATGAAAGTTAAAAATATATATATATAAAGATCAAGATTGCACCCTTTCAGTAAGCACTGATTCATGTCAAAGGCAAGAGGTGGTGCAAGTAAATTCACAGAATGGAGGAAAAGAAAGGAGAAAGAAAGAGACAGATGTTTAGTTGTTGCCAGGACAACCTTGATGAGGCTTGGAAACTGCACCAGTTATCAGCATGGTTGAATCATTTTTCACCAGTAACACTACACATTCCAACTCACACAAGCTAGCTCTTCAATTGATCCCCTCAGTAAAACACAATAATGATTGAATCCCTGGCTGATTTCAGGGCAACGCCTTAGTTCATTAACAGTAGATTTCTTAAACCATGATCCCTGTAGCTATTTTTTTTATTTCTATATTTACTTGATGAAACTTCAGCTAAAAGAAAAACAGGTTTTTATTGAAGTTGTGCGAGGTTCCAAGATGGTAAAATCCTCAGTGTTTTCACTGTAAATACTGTAGTCCTATTATTGATCAAATAAAATAAATGCAGGGCGGTTGTGGACAACCACTTTGGCCGTGGACTAGTTTGACATCTATGGAAATAGATTACACAATAGACACACAAAAAGGTTACACTCCATAGCATGTACCATACATTTGTAGCTAAAGATAGAAGCTTTTCAGCCAAATTACCAGAAAAGCTGGAGACAGGATTAGGCCAGCTGTTCACCACTTTTTATTCTACTCTGACCAGCTACAGGGTCCAGCAACACAGAATAGGCTACAAATGAGAGGAAAATTGATTGGTTGACTTATTCATTCAACTCTTGGTAAAAAAGAGAATTTTCCTCAATGTCAAACTACTCCCTTAAGGGCCTGCATGTGAGCAGTGTTTGAGTGAGCTCTCCTACACATAAATGATATTTCAGCATTGATGGTAAACTACTGTGAAATAAATGATTTTAAAATACTGGGTTCGACCCTACAAATGAACTACCCAGAGGTCTTACATGTTAGTGATACAGCAATGATACTAATCTGGGTATCTTAGCTCCCATTTTGTGCCATCAGGTGGAGTAGAGTGAATTTTTAGTCAATCACACATGGAACTCGTGTAAGAAACAAGCTGATTTGGATTCATGTTGTTCACGGAATATCAAGTCTCAGTTTGGTACTTCTGGTTAAAACTAGTTTAATAGACACATGAAGAAGCAAGACAAATAACTTCTTCTTAATAACATGCAACTTATGGTGATGGCTGTTTGAATTCAACATTCCACTTGAGCCCTGTGATGGAAAACCTTTTTCATAACTCACTTAGGATTTATTTCAGTACCAGAGGCCTATGATCAATTCTCACACTACTGTACGTGTGATACAATGCCTACAAATACTGTATGTTGGTAGCACCAATGGACCATATTGTGATGAGAAACTGGGCAGTAAAAAAAACAACTTGCACATTGTGGAGGCCCTATTTTGTATGAGTACTTAATCATACCATTGATATAACAAAGACAGCCTTCTTCATTGTGGTTTCTCTAAATACAGAATAAAAATGAGATAACAAAGAAGCATGGTTTAGAAAATCAACTGCTTTATTAGTGCTCATGTTTATATTCCTTGTATGAAGTGTACTTTAGTCATTGCTTTATGAGGGCTAGCATGGTTTATCTATTATGCACAAGGTTACACAACTTCAATAATGAGAATATGGTGTATGCTTACTTGTGTATGCGTAAAATAAATGACATATTTTCCACAAAACTCTGCTTTTTCATCTTAATTGAGCATGTATCTAAAGTGATGTCAAACCATCAAACAACAACAGAATCCAGGCCAACAGGAATGTAAATCTCAAACTTTCAACTTCAACTGTTGGTTTGTGGCCATCCTACTGTTAATAGGCAAGAATGGAGAAAGAAAACCAAACTCCTAAAAATTAGCCAAGCAACATGGTTTCAGGCCACATTATTTACTGTCAAGTTAGCAATATGTGCCCGAATCTGTAATATGTCAGAACTCAATGAGACTTAACTTGAAAACCAAAACAAATAACTTGGATCTGATCGAAGTCTTATGTTATACTTTTTATGCAAGCTGACATGCAATGGCCTTTTAAGTGCTTTGTTTTTAAATGGTGCACTGTGAACTGTGAAGCATCCTCTTTGCTGCTACCCTGCTCTCAACTCTGGAGGGGGAACCATTGTTTGAAGGTAAAGAGAAGTGCTGTGGTTGCTCAGCTATACACGTGTCTTACATTTGCACAGCATGTGACACAAGGCCTTCACTGACACCCACACAACTGCCTTCTGGATGGCTGACCAGGCTTACCCACCATCTGTACAGACAGGATTACTTTAAAAGTGTGCATTATTTAAAGGACACATGCTGATTAAGTTCCATGTGTGTGGGTTCTCTAGGGTTACTTCTGTCGACTCTTCTTGTGCACATCACTTAAATTCTGCTTTATGGACCTAGAATAAAGCGCACAGAGATGAAGCAGGTACCAAACAGGTCAGAGCAAGTTTTACCTTTGCACCATAGAAAACACAATACTGCAGGTAGCACAATAACAACATAACTTAAATTTTCAATAAAACCGACCGTATGAAATACAGTAAAAAGGCAAGATACCTATACACCATTCTCAAAACATCCAAACATTTAAAACATGCAGTAACTTTAACATACAGGGACATGCATTTATGTAAATAGGAACACAAACACAAACTACCAATTCAGTATAAATATTAAAACAAAAACACTTTTTAACCAATAGAACATTACTTTTTTTTTTCAGTTAGTTCTTGAACAGTCCAACTTTTAAATCTTTTTAAGGCAAGAACTGTAAGTGCGGGGAAGCCTTCCCAAAACTCTTTATTTAGGAAACGGACTCCTTTCAAAGATTTTTGGGA